CAAACAATTCTGGATCCGCCCCTGAAAAGGATCACTTATTTGAGCCTGCAGATGAGAGCGCGTGAGCTGCGCATAGATCTATCTTCAAATTCCCCACAGGGTGCTGGGCCTTGGCGAAATCCATCTTTCTAAGGCCACAGGGAACGGGAGGATTTTGTGGAAAAATTATCTGTTCTACACTGGCGCTTAGGAAAGCTGTTCTTTGCGTGTCGGTGTCTCTTGTTATGTTTGGGTCCAGTTGGTCCAGTTGACGCACAGTCAGTAGCGCGAGCAGATCATTACAATCACAAACTTACAAGTACTGACGCAGAACTGAGGGTAATTCCTAAAGCCGCGTTTACTTGATGTGAATTATGGTTCCAGTCTTCGATCCTGGATCGAACGGGACGCAGGCTGTTTTCAGTGACTCGGTTGATCTGAAAATATTCTGCACGGTCATATAAAAGTAGGAGGGCTCTTAAGCTCAGACAAATGTGCAAGGTCGGTGCAAATCGCGCGCACGGACTCGTACTTTTGACTTGAAAGGAAATCAATTTTATGGCAATGAAATACATTATTTTGATAAATGACATATCATCGAATGATACACGTTTCATCGGTCGTCTCAAACTTTACAAGCCCCTGTAAATACAAATATTCCCGGTGATCGCCAAGGCGCTAAAAGAAAACATTCGGGGAACAGACAGAAAAGGGGACAAAAGCCAAAATCCATGTCTGGGTCCACCAGGTACCAGTCCTATATGTGGTGAGCGGCCAAACCCAAGAAAGACGCTTATATGTTGTGCGATGTTAAGGGATGGAGATAAAGTAAAGGCACTGTGAATGGCACTAATATTAGATTATTAATAGCTTAAGCGACTTATATGTGTGGCACGCCCACTGAAGCTGCTAAACGATAGTTTATTACCCCCTAACAGCTTCAGTAGTCGCCCCAGACATCAGGGCCGCTTAAGCTCAGTGCAATTAAGCGAGAAACTCCTCGGAGTTGGGTCGATCCTTCTAGATTGATCTAGGTATGGGAATGGGGTCTTACAGTAGAGGGGGACCAAACGCAAGACCGATGTACCAGTAGGTGCATGGAAGCGTGCTATCCGCGCTGGTGACCACTTCGAATGGGCAAAGCCGAAAGTCGAAGAAGATGAAGAAGACTGCTCCATAGCTGCTGACTTAAAAATGTCCAGTCCTCTCTCGTTCACATCTGTTCTGTATCATAACTCATTTAAATTTTAAATAACTGTTTAAACCCTGTTTTCTTTTTTCTATCAGTAAAATTTATGCGTAATTATACCGTACTGTACATGTTACAAAGGATCGCTTGAATCTACTAGGTACAACTGAATATATTTGAACCGTTTTAATTCATGTACTAAACATAAGAAAGTCATTTAAACCCTAACGGATTCAATACATTTTTTGCGTTCACTGTACAGAATGGACGCGCAACTACATGTATAAAACATACACACAAATATGACAAGAAATACCTGGGAAAGCCGGTGTGACGTGACAGAGCACACCCCCCCCCCCCTTCCCATGATAGAGAGTCCGGTTCCATTAATTTGCACATTTTTATTCCATACATGCAGGGACGATTCAAAGATATTTTCTGACAGTCTTCCAAATTATCTTTGTTGATCCATCCTCCATTTTTGACCGTCTTCCGACAGAAAAAATCAGATACCCGTCAATGTAAACTTGAAAATCTGTCCGTCTTCCGGAAGACCCAGAAGACGGCCTAAATCCACCCCTGACATGTATCATGCATTGGCTAATAAGAGAGTCAGGCCCGTAGCAAGCAATTGCAAAAGGGGGAGGGGTTCTTTTTCTGAAAATGTGAACCTTTTCTCATGAAACCTTAGTTCACCTGGATCAAATTTACCCAGAGTGGACCTTTCCCGAGCAAAAAGGGGGCTCTTTCGACGCCCCCCCCCCACCCCCACCCCGAACATCCCTGGTTACGGGCCTGAGATTTATCTTAACTAAGAGAACTGACTGCCTCTAGCCCAGCCATTGTGCCTCTGTAAGATCGTTACGCATATGTATTTCCATATAGTGCATTTTAAGTTTGTGTGGTGAGACATCCGAGTCAAGTTAATATCTATTTATTCACCAGACGATCTATCTGTAGTACAAGGTAATTTTATTTTGCTTAAATTGCAAGCCTCTCCAAGTCTTGTCCGCTGTTACGCGCGATCTTTTAGAGATGCATATTTATCTAACAGATAAGTTTTCCTCCCGTTTATTTAAATGACGCTGTCCTAAGTTTTGCGATCTACTAAAACGGCATTCTCGCATCTCATCACTTCACGGGATCATTTTGAATTATCTCAAAGGGATACGATCTCTTTTTAGATAAACGGTTATATGTTATACATTTAGGAGCACAGCACATATCATTATCATACAATTACACCTGCGGACCTATTCTGATTATATCAGAAAATCATGAAAATGCTGCCATTAGTTTGTGCCTAGATTCCAGTATACTTAGACCTTCGGTGGGAGACCAGAAAACGAGACGCAAACAGTGACAGGTACTGTTGAAATGCTTTTTTTTTCTACTAAATATTTTTAACACCCGTAAACGCTGTGTATTAGGGTCATTTAATTACATACTTTGGTTAATAGACAGAGATCACAGTTTCAGCTTTATTTACGGAGCTGGGAAGGGGTGCTTGTTTATAAACAGGCTGAAATGTTTAGGTGTAGCCTATCAGTGCGTGAAATTTCATGAAGATATACGAGCAACAAATTTTACTATGCATTTTAAAATAAGAATGCTGTCACAATGGTACACTTTTACCAGTATTTGTTGATGGAATACATAGAGAGCCATACCTCACATTATGAACACAGCGGTAGATATACCTGTAGAGCTGCACCCGAAAGCATTTTACAAACATTTCAAAATAAAGATAATACACTTTTTAAAGCGTGAATAGGTAATGAAATAAATTATCAAACATAAAATTATTTTCATATAAAGATAAAACATTGAATTTCTTCCCGTTAACATCTAATACAGAAAAAATATATATATATCTTAAATTACAGATTTTGAAGAGTACCAGATTTATCGATGGTCAACAACCGAGGGATATGATGACAACTAAGAAATTCACACACGTACTTTTCTCAGCAGTAGTGACTGGTTCTATGTTGTGGTTTCTATGGATAAATGAAAGCGCTTTAGTGAACAACAACAGAGAGGACATCGATGTCGAGGCAGCCAATCCGAAAAACTCAAAAACAGCGCCTCCTACTGGCAGCATGGGAACCGCATACGACGACCTGCCCGAGTCCGTAGACTTAACAAGGGGGGTAAGGTATGCAGTTGTGCGACAGAGAGATTACAGACTGACATCTGGGAAGCGATTTGTGTATCTCATTGAGAGCCCAACAAAGACGGCCATTGAAGGATTAGAAGAAACTAAGGAACGCGACGTGATTTGGATGACGTTTGCAGATAGGTCTGGTGACATTTACGCCCCGGATACATCCGTTGCTTCCGGGAGAAGTGTGCTTCTTCAGCACGCGGTCAACTTAGCGGCCCAAATGCAAGACGGCGGTTATCTCTACTATATATTCATGGACGACGACCTGGAGCTTTCGGTAAAATCAGACGGGGAGGTCAACTGGAAATCTTGGCTCAAAATGGCCGCGGATCCTTTTCAGAGATTTGAGGAGTTTTTAATGTATTACCAACCTGCTGTGGGTTACGTACGTTTCGAAGACATGGTCAGGCAGTTTGTCAATAAACAAGAACCCGTAAACTTAAACTGGGATTTTGATGAGTGTTTGAACGCTTTTCACAAGGATACACTGTCCTTTCTGATACCGTATGATTTGCACCTAGATTATGAATCGTGGTATAATGGCGCCTGGATGACTCGTCAGTTGATTTCGATGCTGTATCACAGCTATCGCATTCAGTGTAACTCGCTGCTTGTTACAAATCGTATACACAAAAGATCTGTTTCAAAGGAAAGATACAAGCAATATTTTGATTACGAAATACCGCGAAACTACATCTCGTCTGCATTACTAACGAAAACAAAAGCCAGCCCAGCCAAAGCCAACCCATTAATCGAAGCTGTGTTAAAAGGAACGTCCTCCCGCCAAGATCCTGGTACCCTACAACCGGGTTCTAAAATCAAGATTCCCGGCCAGCCAAAACTAAAAGGCAACCATTCGTACCTTGTAACGCCTGATTTCATCCTACAGCATTGGGACCCTACCCATCCCATGATTAGAAAAAAATTAACTTGGTTGCAAAAACCAGAAATACAGAAAATCCTCGGACTAGATAACCGTCGTCTGCAGCCTTTTACACCTGACACTTTGTACTGCACCGCACCTAATAAATTTTCACTGACTATTGGACAATGACATTAATTTAAAAATATACTTATCCAATCACTGGACTTTCAAACGACTTCAACATTAAAATTTATTAATTAAATTAATGCTTTCTTGTCCAAAATTTGTTTTATTCAATGTCATCGTTCGTATGTAGGCTTGTCATCTGATGATAATAAATTTGGAACACTGTCAGCTTTTGATATAATCCAAACCACTGGAGTGGACCATATATACATATATATATCGATGTGTCCCTTTAAAAATGAACAAGAAATAAAATAAATTACCTAACGCAAAATAATTCAAAGTTATTGTCATGTAAAGTGAAAGCAGCGTTTCTTCAACCAGTAGCTAATATGGAAAACATGTAAGTAATAAATATAGTGGTTTATCTTAATTTACAGCTTTTGGAGATTGCCGGATTTACTGATGCTCAACTACCGAAGGTTATGATGACAACCAAGAGGTTTATACACGTTTGTCTGTCAACAATAGTCACTATTTCTGTGTTGTGCTTTCTACGGATAAATCAAGTCACTTACATGAACAACAAAAGAAAGGACATTGGCGCCAAGGAAGCTCCTCCTATTAAGCCTCGGTCACAACCGGCCGTACGAGCTCTTACGGGCTGTTTGCGTCCAAATTTTGCGCAGAATCTCCCACGCAAGGTCTTCTTACGCAATTTCGAGTTCGCAGACAGCCCGTAAGCACGTACGGAGGATGTTGGACATGTCCAAAAGATTCTACGAATAGCCTGCGAACAGCGAGGCCGCAGGCGTAACTTGCTCCCTCGAGCTCGCACGGAGTTAGCAAGAGAGACGCGCGTGGTGCAAGACGCACGTCGCAAGCAATGAAGGAGCAAGTGCCCTTTGCGTGTTGAGTAAGGCGCACGCCCTCACAACTAACGAACAAAGTCGAGAGCACACCGGGAATGCGTCGCACGTGCGTCACCCCCGCGCTTTGTGTATAAAAGGCGTGCTCTCGACGCACGCTCGTGTCTTTACAATGAACGTCGACTGTGTAACGTGTACAACAGTTTTCAAAATGTTCAAATTTTTGCTCAATTTAGTTTCTTATATGCCTCCAAAAGGCAAGAGAAAGAAGCTTACATAGTAGAAGAAAGGAAGGAGGAAGAAAAAAGAAGAGGAGAACAGGAAGAAAAACTGACATACGCCGTCAGTACGTCACCACAAACGTGTGAGGCAAGTGTGAAGCAAAACTGACGCAAAAGAGCACCACTTTCGCCGTGCGTTGCATTCCCTTCGTAAGTGGTGAGTGTGTGCCACGTACACAGGGAGCAAGAAAAAATCAAGAAATGAGTACGATATTTACGACCATCGCTCCTTGCATTTAGCATCTCTGCCTGAAAGGACATTTCATGTGACCCTTGCGACTCGCAAGGCAGACTTTCCATTACCTCTACGACCTCCGAAACACCCAAAAATCGCAGGGGACGTACGATCCTGAAATTCGTGCGTCCGGTTGTGACCGAGGCTTTACTAGGATGGGTATCGGGTACGATGGCTTGCCTGAATCCATAGATTTATCGTTGGAGATAAGGTATGTATTTGTGCAACAGAGAAATTACAGGAGAACAACTGGCAAGCAATTTGTGTATCTCATTATGGGTCCAACCAAAAGGGTTATCAAAGGATTAGAAGAAACCAAGGAACGGGACGTCATTTGGATGACATTTGCGGATAAATCAGGTGACATTTACGCCCCGGGGACATCCATCCATTCCGATAGAAATGTGCTTCTTAATCACGCGGTCAGCTTAGCGGCCTGTAGCAAAAAATAATTTCATATTGCTGTAATTGCAAGCCTCCCCAAGTCTTGTTTGACTTCATGTACGACCCTTTAGAGATACATAATTATATGATGCAAATTACTGTTTTCCTTCCTATACATGTACATTTAAATGATGCCATCAATGTTAAGCATCTGTCCAAAATTACACAGATTACAGATTAGTAAAAGGCAGCCCAATTTTATTGTTCAAAATTATACGAACTATTTAATCTACATATTCCGATCTCATTTAAGCGACCAATTTGGAGTGCCTGTAACAGATACGATCTCTTTTAGATGCGGAAACATGATACATATCGAATTTTATAACGAGTTTCCATTAAATTTCACACGTTGGTCTATTCCTGTTGGATCACAATATGAGTGACTTCACATAGTAGTCTTAGTTGGAGTGGAAATAGTGGCTCACATTAGTCAATATTGTATAGAACGGTCGTTGCCGCCCAGACGACGATTTATTCAAACAAACTTTCACACAGACAATCATGAAAAAATGCCAACAAGTTCCGAATTAGTCGTCCGTTCACGGAGTCTTCGTGCCTGGGCTCTAGGAAGCAGTTTTACGAGCACTACAGCTAGGGCGGGAAAACGAGGCGAAAACAGTGACAGGTACTGTTGAAATGCTTACTTTTGTACTTGGTGTTATTTAACACCTGCAAACGCTGTGTATTAAGGTCATTTTATTATTTTGGCAAAAAAAAAGTGGAGAACAAAATTCCAGCTTTAATTAACGGTGGGGGTAGGGGGCTTGTTAATACGCAGGCTGTTATCAAATATGTTTGTGAGTAACAGTGAGTAAAATTTCATAAAGACATACGAACAACAAACTATACTACGCATTTAGAAATAGGAATGCTGATACAATGGTAGTATTCGATGACGATATTGATAAATACCCGTAGTTCACATTATGGACACAACGGTAGATGTAGCTGTACAGCGCTGCACTTTGCCACCGGTCGAATATCATTTTGGAAACATTTTCAAAACGATATATATATATATATTTATAATTATAATTTTAAAAGTGTAAATACGCATTTTGCAAACACCGATTCAAAAACAATATTAAGTAAACCGTATGCTGTTTTAACACAAAGGTTTTAACAGAGAGAAATATCAATATTTAAAAAAGAATAAGAAATGAAATGATTAAAAATTATTGTTATATGAGGATAAAGCAGTGATATTTTCTTCAAACAACAGCTAATATACTGGTAGAAAACTACTTAGTCATATATATGGCGTTCTATCTTATATTACAGTTTTTGGAGATTGCCGGATTTACTGATGCTCAACTACCGAAGGTTATAATGACAACCAAGAGGTTTATATACGTATGTCTGGCAACAATAGTGACTGGTTCTATGTTATGGTTTCTATGGATAAATCAAATCACTTCAGTGAACAACAACAGAAAACGCATTGAGGTCAAGACAGCCCCTCCTACTACAACAAGTAGGGTCGGCATCGGGCACGATGACTTGCCGGAGTCCATAGATTTAACGCTGGAGATAAGGTATGCAGTTGTGCGACAGAGAAATTACAGGAGAACAACTGGCAAGCGATTTGTGTATCTCATTATGGGTCCAACCAAAAGGGTTATCAAAGGATTAGAAGAAACCAAGGAACGGGACGTTATTTGGATGACATTTGCAGATAAGTCAGGTGATATTTACGCCCCGGGGACATCCATCCATTCCGGTAGAAATGTGCTTCTTCAGCACGCGGTCACCTTAGCGGCCCAAATGAAAGATGGCGGTTATAGTTACTATATAATAATGGACGATGACTTGGAGCTTTCGGTTAGGTCGGATGGGCAGGTCAATTGGAAAGTTTGGTCCAAGATGGCATCGGACCCTTATCAGAGGTTCGAGGAGTTTCTTATGTATTACCAACCTGCTGTGGGTTATGTACGTTACCAAGATATGAGACAGTTTGTCAATAAAAAACTACCCGTAAACTTGAACTGGGATTTCGACGAGTGTTTTAGTGCTTTTCACAAGGATACACTATCATTTTTGTTACCGTATGATTTGCACCTAGACTATGAATCTTGGTGGTATGGCGGCTGGATTACTCGTCAGTTGATCTCCATGCTATATCACAGCTATCGCATGCAGTGCAACTCGCTGCATGTTACAAATTCTTTATCAAATAGACCTGTTTCAAAGGACAGATATAAGAAATATTTGGATTTTGAAAAGCCGCGGGATTACATCTCATCTGCCTTGCTGACGAAAACCAAGACCAGCCCATCCAAGCCAAACATATTAATCAAGACTCTATTGAAAGGAACCACTTCGCTCGGAAGTCCAGGTACCTTACAGCCTGGCTTTAACATCAAGATTCCTGGCAAACCGAAACGAAAGGGTAACCATTCGTATCTTGTGACGCCCGACTTTATCCTTCAACACTGGGACCCTACCCATCCCATGATTAAAAGAAAATTAACTTGGTTGCAAAAACCAGAAATACAGAAAATTCTTGGACTAGATAACCGTCGTCTGCAGCCTTTTACACCTGACACTTTGTACTGCACCGCACCGAATAAATTTTCACTGACTATTGAAAAATGACATCTAACGACACATATACGTTCCCATCAAATGTACCAAGTATTATCACAAAGTTCATCTGGTAGGGTATACCCCCACCCCCCATCCTTCCCCGTTGTTAAGTTATAAATTTCCTCGGTAATAGTATCTTGAAAGCATGCCGCTTGAAAGTCAACTTGCTATCTACATGTGAAAGTATCTTATTCGCGTTTTTTTCTGCCAAATCGAAACTTCCTCAGTACAAATGGGATTTCTTATACTAATAAATATTTGTAGCGTTGCTCTACCTGACCCTGCAATTGGATTTGTTCTTTTATACCATTTCTTATTATTCAATTTATACATTCAATTTATTTCAAAGAGACTGGCCGGTCACTTAGGGCGCCTTGACCTCGTTTATTTCAGAAAGGAATTTCGACATATTAGTGATGATATGCAGTCTTTAAGGGCGGCAGGGGGAAAGGAAAGTATGTTTGTAGATTGTGCTGACCAGGGCTCCGTAGCTCGCGAATTGCGAATAGCGATAACCTTTTATTTCGAGTCTTTTATATGGGGCGAGTATGGGCGAGTTATGCGAGTTATGGAATCGAGACGCTTGCGCTCTGTCGCAATGCGCGATGCTTTCGAGTTACGGGGCCCTGAGAAATCTGACTCTGGGACGTTATGAAATGCATTTGTGCCGTTACATGTATCTCTCGTCTATTTGGCACGAACAATATGAAAACCAAAGTAATGTGTTGCCGCTGCGCGTCACATAGCTGCTGACATAATACCCAGCTTAAGTTAATATTTTAAAAGGATACACTATCATTTCCGATATCGTATGATTTGCTCACGTGCGCAAGTGTCTCGATTCCATGGCCCCGTATCTCGAAATAGAATCGGTTATGGAGTCGAGACACTAACGCACGTGCGCAACATAGCGAACCTTTCGAGATACGGAGCCCAGGGCCCCGTAATTCGAAAGCATCGCGAATTGCTACCGAGCGCAAGCGTCTCGATTCCATATCTCGCCTATACTCGCTCCATATAACAGCCTCGAAATAAAAGGTGATATCGCTATTCGCGTTGCTTTCGAGTTACGGAGCCCTGTTTAAAAGGACAGATACAATTCTTTTATTATTATAAAAAAACAGCGGGACTACTTATCGTCTGCATTGCTAAAGAAAAAGGCTACACCAGCCAAAGCCGACACGTTACACGTGATTTTGTTTATCACCAATTTACATGTATTACAAATGTGACTAAGGCAGCGATGCTTTACAATTTCATTACATCTTTTATTTCAGCAACTCACTGCCCCATAGCTGCTGACTTTAGAAATTATCTAGTCCTCTCTCGTTCACATTTGTTCTGCATCCTAACTCATTTACATTTTAAATTACTGTTAAAACCCTGACTTCTCTATCTCTCTACTCTACATTATCAGTAACATGTATACTTAATGATAATGTACTGTACAAAGGATCGCTTGAAACTATAATGTACAACGGAATATATTTAAACAATTTTAATCCGTGTACAAAACATAAGGGTGTCATTTTAACCCCAACGGATTCAATACATTTTGGCGTTTACTGTATAGTATGAACACACAAATATAAAAATAAACAAAAAATGTGACAAAATGTGCCTAGGAAAGCCTTCTACACTCTTGCCCAAAATGGTTGGTACACGGAAATTTTGGGATGCATATCGCCCTGTTTCTTTCATTATTATTAATATTACCAAATTAATACTGTTTATATTGTTAAATATGTGAAGCTGGAGGATTGGTAAAGTCAAGGAGAAACAACCAATGCAAATGTGAAAAAAGCGTTAATTTTTTGAGGGTTTTTTTTTTCTCATGCCCCCAAAGAGAGTACTTTTTTTACATAACAGTACCAAGTAAAAAATTAAACATAAATTTATACTGTGATTGACAATTAATATGAAATTAGGGGAAATTGTCAAGAAACATCTTCAGAGTTCATTACTAATCTCAATAGCGGGTATGCCCACCCCGAGCTTGGATAATGGCCGCCAGACGACGTGACATACTGCAAACTAGAGTAACAGCACTTTGAAGAGGAATTCTGGTCCATTCATCTTGAAGGGCATCTCGCAGTTCATCTAGATTTGCAGGGGGAGGATTCGGCTAGATTGGGATGTACATGTTATTCTATTGCCAAAATAGAGCACTTTTACTTTGTGATGCCAAAAGACATCCGAATAAATATATATTTATACATACCTGGAGGATCATTAAACAAACTACCTGTAGCAAAAGTTAATTTCATATTGCTGTAATTGCAAGCCTCCCCAAGTCTTGTTTGACTTCATGTACGACCCTTTAGAGATACATATTTATATGATGCAAATTACTGTTTTCCTTCCTATACATGTACATTTAAATGATGCTATCAATGTTAAGCATCCGTCCAAAATTATACAGATTACAGATTAGTAAAAGGCAGTCCAATTTTATTGTTCAAAATTATACGAACTATTTAATCTACATATTCCTATCTCATTTCAAGCGACCAGTTTGGAGTGCCTGAAACTTATACGATCTCTTTTAGATGCGGAAACATGATACATGTCGAATTTTATAACGAGTTTCCATTAAATTTCACACGTTGGCCTATTCCTGTTGGATCGCAATATGATTGACTTCACATAGTAGTCTTGGTTGGAGTGGAAGTAGTAGCTCACATTAGTCAATATTGTATAGAACGGTCGTTGTCGCCAAGATGACGATTTATTCAAACAAACTTTCACACAGACAATCATGAAAAAATGCCAACAAGTTCCGAATTAGTCGTCCGTTCACGGAGTCTTCGTACCTAGGCTCTAGGAAGCAGTTTTATTAACACTAAAGCTAGAAGGACGGGAAAACGAGGCAAAAACAGCGACAGGTACTGTTGAAATGCTTGCGTTTGTACTTGGTGTAAAGGCTGTGTATTTAGGCTGTGTATTTAGCTCATTTTATTATTTTGGTTAAAAAATGGAGAACAAAATTTCAGCTTTATTTACGGGGGAGGGGGTTCATTTATACGCAGACTGTTATCAAATGTGTTTGTGAGTAACAGTGAGTAAAATTTCGTAACGACATACGAAAACAAACTATACTACGCATTTAGAAATAGGATTTCGGCCACAATGTTAGCGTTCGATGACGATATAAATAGATACCGGTAGTTCACATTATGGACACATCGGCAGATGTACCTGTACAGCGCTGCACTTTGCCACCGGTCGAATATCATTTTGGAAACATTTTCAAAACGATATATATATATATATATATATATATATATATATATATATATATATATATATATATATATTTATAATTATAATTTTAAAAGTGTAAATACGCATTTTGCAAACACCGATTCAAAAACAATATTAAGTAAACCGTATGCTGTTTTAACACAAAGGTTTTAACAGAGAGAAATATCAATATTTAAAAAAGAATAAGAAATGAAATGATTAAAAATTATTGTTATATGAGGATAAAGCAGTGATATTTTCTTCAAACAACAGCTAATATACTGGTAGAAAACTACTTAGTCATATATATGGTGTTCTATCTTATATTACAGTTTTTGGAGATTGCCGGATTTACTGATGCTCAACTACCGAAGGTTATAATGACAACTAAGAGGTTTATATACATATGTCTGGCAACAATAGTGACTGGTTCTATGTTATGGTTTCTATGGATAAATCAAATCACTTCAGTGAACAACAACAGAAAACGCATTGAGGTCAAGACAGCCCCTCCTACTACAACAAGTAGGGTCGGCATCGGGCAAGATGACTTGCCGGAGTCCATAGATTTAACGCTGGAGATAAGGTATGCAGTTGTGCGACAGAGAAATTACAGGCGAACAACTGGCAAGCGATTTGTGTATCTCATTATGGGTCCAACCAAAAGGGTTATCAAAGGATTAGAAGAAACCAAGGAACGGGACGTTATTTGGATGACATTTGCAGATAAGTCAGGTGATATTTACGCCCCGGGGACATCCATCCATTCCGGTAGAAATGTGCTTCTTCAGCACGCGGTCACCTTAGCGGCCCAAATGAAAGATGGCGGTTATCTTTACTATATAATAATGGACGATGACTTGGAGCTTTCGGTTAGGTCGGATGGGCAGGTCAATTGGAAAGTTTGGTCCAAGATGGCATCGGACCCTTATCAGAGGTTCGAGGAGTTTCTTATGTATTACCAACCTGCTGTGGGTTATGTACGTTACCAAGATATGAGACAGTTTGTCAATAAAAAACTACCCGTAAACTTGAACTGGGATTTCGACGAGTGTTTTAGTGCTTTTCACAAGGATACACTATCATTTTTGCTACCGTATGATTTGCACCTAGACTATGAATCTTGGTGGTATGGCGGCTGGATTACTCGTCAGTTGATCTCCATGCTATATCACAGCTATCGCATGCAGTGCAACTCGCTGCATGTTACAAATTCTTTATCAAATAGACCTGTTTCAAAGGACAGATATAAGAAATATGTGGATTTTGAAAAGCCGCGGGACTACATCTCATCTGCCTTGCTGACGAAAACCAAGACCAGCCCATCCAAGCCAAACATATTAATCAAGACTCTATTGAAAGGAACCACTTCGCTCGGAAGTCCAGGTACCTTACAGCCTGGCTTTAACATCAAGATTCCTGGCAAACCGAAACGAAAGGGTAACCATTCGTATCTTGTGACGCCCGATTTTATCCTTCAACACTGGGACCCTACCCATCCCATGATTAAAAGGAAATTAGAATGGTTGCAAAAACCAGAAATACAGAAAATTCTCGGACTAGATAATCGTCGTCTGCAGCCTTTTACACCTGACACTTTGTACTGCACCGCACCGAATAATTTTTCATTGAACAATGACATCAAATGACACATATACGTACCCATCACTGGACTTTCAAATAACTTCAACTGTAAAGTTTATTCTTTGAATAAATATCTTTTGTCAAAAATTGTTTGATTCAATGCCATCGTCCGTAGATAGAACATGCTTTATCTGTACGTGTGTTATATGATTATTTTGCGTTCGTGCAGAAAAGGTACTGAGTATTTTTTGTATTTGTAGATAGTTATTCATACCCTAATTACAAAAGCTGTGTATAAGTCAGAAAAAAAATCGCCGCCGAGAAAAAAACCTTTTCCTATTGTAGGCTTTAAATTTTTGACTTATAATATATGTACATTTAAAAAATTGTACCAAGTATTATCACAACGTTCATCTGGTGGGTTTACCCCCCCCCCCAATCCTCCCCCGTTGTTAAGTTATAAATTTCCTCTGTAATATTATCCTGAAAGCATGCCTTATTCGCGTTTTGTTCTGTCAAATCGAAATTTCCTCAGTACAAAAGGGATTTCTTATGCTCATAAATATTTGTAGCGTTTTTCTACCTGACCCTGCAATTGGATTTGTTCTTTTATGCCATTTCTTATTATTCAATTTCTTTCAAAAAGACATAATGTCCTTGTATTTTAGTTGTGATATGCGGGAAAGGAAAGTATGTTTGTAGATAGTGCTGACCAGGGCTCCGTAACTCGAAAGCATCGCGAATTGCGAATAGCGATATCACCTTTAATTTCGAGGCTCTTATATGGGGCGAGTATGGGCGAGTTGTGGAATCGAGACGCTTGCGCTCTGTCGCAATGCGCAATACTTTCGAGTTACGGGCCCTGAGAAATCTGACTCTGGGACATTTTGAAACGCGTTTGTGACGTTACATGTACAGGTACATGTATCTCTCGTCTATGTGACACGAAAAATATGAAAATCAAAGCACTGTGTAGCCTCTGCGCGCAACATGGCAACTGACATACATGTAATTCCCGGCTGTCAGGATGCACTATCATTTCCGATATCGTATGATTTGCACCTAGATTATACATTTTCGTAAAGCACGGGCACCGTGCGATGAAATTGTCCGTACGATATTTTTTAATCACAAGGAGCTACGGGAAACGCCGAGTATGTCTACATTACATGGCCTTAAATCCGTACGATTCCGTGCGATTTTGCACGGCCACCGTCTACCTCCGCTCAGACGCCTTACGAAAAGGCCATTACAAGCAGCATACGTGCACCGTACGGGCATCGCATTTCAAATTTAATCTAGGCTTAAATTGGCGCCTGGATGACTCGTCAGTTAATTTCGATGCTGTATCACAGCTATCGCATTCAGTGCAAATCGACAATACACAATCGACCTGTTTGAAAGGACAGATATAAGACGAATTTTTTATTGTGAAAAAAAAAAAAAAACGCGGGACTGCATTGCTAAAGAAAAAAGCCAGACCAGCCAAGGCCGACACGTCACTGAAAGGAACGTCCGCGCGCATAAGTACAGTGATTTTGTTTATCACCAATTAACATGTATTACAAATGTAACTGAGGCAGCGAGGCTTTACAATTTCACTACATCTTTCATTTCAGCAACTCACTGCCCCATAGCTGCTGACAATAGAAATTCTCTAGTCCTCTCTCGTTCACATTTGTTCTGCATCCTAACTCATTTACATTTTAAATTACTGTTAAAACCCCGACTTCTCTATCTTTTCTATTCTATCAGTAACATGTATACTTAATGATAATGTACTGTACAAAGGATCGCTTGAAACTATAATGTACAACGGAATATATTTAAACAATTTTAATCCATGTACATATCATAAAGGTGTCAATTTAACCCTAGGTCACGGATTCGATACATTTTGCGTAAAGTGTATAGTATGGACGCACAAATATAAAAGATAGACAAAACTGACAATATGTGCCTCGTAAAGCCTTCAATTAACGACACTGGGCAAATCTTATATCAATTACTCCTACATGAGAGAAAGACACTATTTTATAGAATAAGAAATATGTCTTAAATACGAAACTTACATGTACATTTACTAGTAGCAACTGGCAAATGTTGGGGTCCAGGCCCGTGGCCAGAATTTTCAAAAGGGAGGTTCTTTTTCTGAAAAAGTGGACCTTTTACCATGAAACGTTCACGTACCTACATAAAATTTTACCCAGAGGAGACCTTTTCCTGGCAAAAGGGGGGTTCTTTCGAACCCTCCGAACCCCCCCCTCCCCCCCGGCTACGGGACCTGGGGTCTCAACTTCAGACTTTTCACTAGGTATTTAAATCACCGGCATAGACAGGTCACCTGTTATATTAAAGTATCATGCGACTAGGAATTGTCTCAGTTCCTTGTTAAACCTCTTGCACATATGGGATGGGAATTATGTATTTTTATTTCAGATATGTACAATGCAAATGACAATAAGTATCTATCTCAAGTTAAAGAATATTGGAGCGTTGCTTTATTATCCATACCTCTAAACTGTCTCTAACCATGCTCACGGGCCTCGACTAGATCGGAATGTACTTATTATTCTATTGCCAAAACAGAGCATTTTTACTTTGTGATGCCAAAAGACATCTGAATAAATATATATTTATACATACATATATACCCGGGGGATCATCAAACAAACTACCTGTAGCAAAAGATAATTTCATATTGCTGTAATTGCAAATACTCCCCAAGTCTTGTTTGACTTCATGTACGACCCTTTAGAGATACATATTTATATGATGCAAATTACTGTTTCCTTCCTTTACATGTACATTTAAATGATGCTATCAATGTTAAGCATCTGTCCAAAATTATACAGATAACAGATTAGTAAATGGCAGGCCAATTTTATTGTTCAAAATTATACGATCTATTTAATCTATATATTCATTTTTCATTTCAAGGGACCAATTTGTAGTGCCTGAAACTGATACGATCTCTTTTAGATGCGGAAACCTGATACATATCGCATTTTAATGAGTTTCCATTAAATTTCACCCGCTGACCTATTCTTGTTGGATCACATTATGATTGACTTCACATAGTAGTCTTGGTTGGAGTGGAGATAGTGGCTCACATTAGTCAATATTTTATGTAACGGTCGTTGCCGCCCAAAGGACGATTCATTCAAACAAACAAACAAACAAACAAACAGACAGACAGACAATCAGAAACAATGCCACCTAGTTCTGAATTCGTCGTCCGTTCATGGAGCCTTCGTACCTAGGCTCTAGGAAGCAGTTTTACGAGCACTACCGCTAGAAGGACGGAAAAAGGAGGCGCAAACGGTGACAGGTAAAGTTGAAATGCTTTTCTTTTTGTACTTGGTGTTAATTTAACACCCGTAAACGCTGTGTATTAAGGTCATTTTATTATTTTGGTTAAAAAATGGAACGAAATTCCAGCTTTATTTACGGTGGAGGGGGCTCGTTAATGTGAAGGTGTTATCAAATATGCTTGTGAGTAACAGTGAGTAAAACTTCTTAAAGGCATACGAAAACAAACTATACTTCGCATTTAGAAATAGGAATTTGGACACAATGGTAGTATTCGATGACGATGCTAATAGATACCGTTAGTTCACATTATGGACACAACGGTTGATGTACTTGTACAGCGCTGGACTTTGCATTCATATCAAAACGATACATACATGAACAGATACAATTATAAAAGCGTAAACCACCGATTCAAAAAAACAATATTTAGTAAACTGTATGCTATGCTTTTCAAACACATTGGTTTTATTGGAATATGGAATATTTTAAAAGGAATGAGGAATATAATTATTCAAAATTATTGCCATATAAGGATAAAGCAGTGATTTTTCTTTACTCAACAGCTAAGAGAAATTTTCTTAGTCATATATATGGTGTTTAATCTTATATTACAGCTTTTGGAGATTGCCGGATTTACTGATGCTCAACTACCGAAGGTTATGATGACAACCAAGAGGTTTATACACGTTTGTCTGTCAACAATAGTCACTATTTCTGTGTTGTGGTTTCTATGGATAGATAAAATCACTTTAGTGAACAACAACAGAAAGGACATTGGCGTCAAGGCAGACCCTCCAACTACAACAAGTAGGGTCGGCATCGGGCACGATGACTTGCCGGAGTCCATAAATTTATTGTTGGAGCTAAGGTATGCAGTTGTGCGACAGAGAAATTACAGTCTGACAACTGGGAAGCGATTTGTGTATCTCATTATGGGCCCAACTAAGCGGGTCATCAAAGGATTAGAAGAAACCAAGAAACGGGACGTCATTTGGATGACGTTTGAAGATAAGACAGGTGACATTTACGCCCCGGGCACATCCCACAATTCTGGGAGAAATGTACTTCTTAATCACGCGGTTAACTTAGCGGCCCAAATGAAAGACGGCGGTTATCTCTATTATATATTTATGGACGATGACTTGGAGCTTTCGGTTAGGTCGGATGGGTGGGTCAATTGGAAAGTTTGGTCCAAGATGGCATCGGACCCTTATCAGAGGTTTGAGGAGTTTCTTATGTATTATCAACCTGCTGTAGGTTACGTACGTTACCGAGATATGGGTAGACAGTTTGTCAATAAAAAACTGCCCGTAAACTTAAACTGGGATTTCGACGAGTGTTTTAGTGCTTTTCACAAGGATACACTATCATTTTTGTTACCGTATGACTTGCACCTAGACTATGAATCTTGGTGGTATGGAGGCTGGATAATCCGTCAGTTGATCTCTATGCTGTATCACAGCTATCGCATGCAGTGCAACTCGCTGCATGTTACGAATCGCATATCAAATAGACCTGTTTCACAGGACAGATACAAGAAATGTTTGGATTATGAAAAAACGCGGGACTACATCTCATCTGCTTTACTGACGCAAACCAAGACTAGTCCACCCAAGCCCAACTCATTAATTGGCGCACTCCTAAAAGGAACATCTTCTCTCGGAAATGGAGGTACCTTACAGCCGGGCTATAACATCAAAATTCCCGGCCGACCGAAACGAAAGGGCCACCATTCGTATCTCGTAACGCAGAATTTTATTGCTCAGCACTTTGACCCTACCCATCCAATGATAAGAAGGAAATTAAATTGGTTGCAAAAACCAGAAATACAGAAAATTCTCAAACTAGGTAACCGCCGTCTGCAGCCTTTTACACCTGACTCTTTGTACTGCTCCGCACCGCATAATTTTTCACTGACTATTGGACAGTGACATCAAATGATTAAAAAAACGTACGCATCAATGGACTTTCAAATGACTTCTGCTTCAAAGTTAATTCTTTTAATAAATGTCTTTCTTGTCAAAATTATATATTTTGTTTCAATGTCATCTTTCGTAGGACAGAACATGCTATATATGTACATGTATTATGTGATTATTTTGCGTAATGCAGAAAGAATATATTTCTATTTTAAGGTAATTATTTATACCCTTATTACAAAAGGGTGCCATTAAAAAATCACAAAAAAATTCACCGCCCAGAAAATAAAAAATTCCTTTTGCACGCCTTAAAACAGTGGCTTACAAATCAGTTTATTTAAAATGACGTACCAAGTATTACCACAACGTTCGTCAGGTAGGGGTAAACCCCCCTTCCCCAGTTGTTAAAGTTATAAATTCCCTAGGTAATTGTCCGTTTCACTATCAGATTTCACTTGTCGATTTTTTTTTTTTTTTTTTTTTTTTTTTGGGGGGGGGGGGGGGTT